GCCTTCCCAGCCACAGAGGGCAAAGGACGAAAGATATAAGCGTGTCCTGTACATGCAAAGTGACGTAGTCACCAAAAGTGTCCTGACGAAGTTCCAAAATAGTGAGCGCGGCCCTGCTCCCTTGCAGGGTATTTCAGTAAATCCACCTTTTCCGTTCTCAAAAAATGATAGATTTGTGCCTGATCTTCTAGGAATAGGCTCGAGGTATCAAACGAAACGAAACTGTGATTAAATAATAATCGCCTTCTCATGATAATTTGTGTTTGTACGCAAGAGCTGATGTAGCCATTTAGAAAACTAATTTTAGATGGGGTGGCCGGGAGACCCCTCGGGGCCCCGTTTTCAGAAGCAGAGCCCGACTTCCCCAAGGCCTAAGAAGAGGGAGTGGACCAGGATGTGATCCAGGTGGGAGCTTAGTGCCCTGGGCCAGCCTCGACTTGGGGTGTCTCGAGCCAGCCCCCAGCTCGCCAAAGCCCTGGCACCCCAGCTCAGCAGTGTGAGACCCAAGGCTTGGCCTGGGGTCCTGCTCTGGGTCTCTCTCCCCTCCCCCCAGCCACTGAGCTGTGTGCCTTGTGCCAGCTCCCTCCTGCTCCCCCCCCCCCCTGGGCTCCTGCCTTCTCATGCCCACTTTCCCGACTGTCCAGCTGAAGGCTGAGTCCCCCGCACTGCCCACAGAGGCACTGCCCACTGAGTGAGGGGACGGCCGCTGGGGACTGCCGGGGGTCGCCTTCCCCAGGGGAGGTGCTTACTCGGGGCCACAAAGTCCTGGCCCAGCAAAGCTGCTGAGCCTGGGGAGGCCCGCAGGCTGCGGGGCTGGGCACGGGGACCACGGGGCTGTGGGTGTCAGTACAGGCCAGTGCTGCCGTCCTGAGGCATGGGAGTGGGGCGCACCTGGGGGCGCTGGAATGGCCAGAATACTCCCGCTGGTGACTGACTGTGAGCAAATAGCTGACATGTGGAAGCCTCAGTTCCCCACTAAACATATCTGTAGGCCAGTTACAAGGACCCAGTGAGGTCGCATTCCAGCTTGGGGTGGCATGCGCCTCCAGATTTGGGGGTGACAGCTTTGGGGAGTGGGAGCTGGGAAGAAACCATAGGCCTTACAATTGGTTTATTTCTGTATTTCTACAAGCCCCCATAATTTTTTTTGTTACATTTTACATTAAAATATACTATTTTAATAATTAGAAAAATAAAGCAAATATCTGGAAGCCTCTAAATTCGGTTTAAGGAAAAGACAGGCCCACACTTTCGGTCGGGAGTCTTTCCTGCCAGGCAGAAAGGATAGGGGAGAACCAGCCCTACTTTATTTTTGTTTTTATCTTAAGTTCATTTAAAAAAAAATGAAGGATTTATTTATTTACACATACTGGAGTACGGGTCAGAGGTGTGGGGGTGAGAGGCTCCCCAGAGACAGAGCGGGGAGCGGAACAGGCGGATCCACGGAAGCCCACTGCCGAGGGAGCAGCGGGGAAACAGGAGGGGTCAGCTGCGCCTGGGTCCCTCCCTGGCCGGGGTCCACTTGTGCTGCAGCGGCTGCGGCAGCTTCACAGTGCTGCTAGGGAGGCCCCTAGTTAGCTATTTCAAAGTAAAGGCAAAAGCATATCTATAATACAAAACCTTGCAGCTGGACCATTTTTAAAGTGGCCCTACTGCCCGGCAGGCCTGAGCAGTGACTGTTGGCCTCCAGGTTCCCCGCTAGAGTGAGCACGGGGCCTGGAGCTTCCTGTCCCTCCTGTCCCTCCGGTGTGCAGCGAAGACTGAGGGGGAGAAGCAGCCAGAGAAACATGGGGGGGGGGCCTTTTGCAATTCAAAAATAACCCTGTACATAATAAAGAGCTTATTTTGCTAAAAAAAAAAAAAAAAAAAGCAGCAACAACTGAGAGAAACTAGTGAAAACTACCCAGGGGAACACGGGCAGCTATTAGCGACAGGAGGGTTATCGGGGTGGGGGGTCCCCGCCTCACAGTCAGGGAGGCCAGAATTGAAGGAGCTGGTTGTGCAGGCCCAGGAGGGCTGTGAAGTTGATGGGCTGGGCCCGGGGCAGCTGAGGAGAGTGGGCAAGAAGTGGAGGGAGAGAAAGATCTGGGCACAGGGCTTTGGAATCCCTCATCTCCCAACCCAGCGGCAACCAGAGAGGCCCCTCCTTTGGCGGGCAATGTGGCGGTTCACATCAAACCAGAGCGAGTGGGTTAAGTTTGTGTGGCAACCTGGCTGGCCATGGTGGCCAGATATTTAGCCCACCAATACTCTGGGTGTTCCTGCAAAGAGCTTTTTTGGGATGAGATTAACACTGAAATAGGTGGACTCTGAGTACAGCAGATTGCTGCTGTGTGGGTGGGCCTCATCTAATCAGTTGAAGGCCTGCATGGACAAAGACTGACCTCTGAGCAGGAAGGAACGGTGCCGGCAACTCTCCTGTGAGTTTGCAGCTGCAGATTCTCCAGTCAAGCGCTCCTCCACGGAGCTACACTTCCAGCCTGCAGACTTTGGGTTTGCCAAGCCTGCAGTCAGGTGAGCGTCTCTCTACAGACAGCGTGCATCGCCTGAGGACATGCGGCCGGCGGTGTTTACACCACGGTGTCCCCCAGGCCACGTGGCCTCGGCCTTACCATCTCACCTTGTGTAAGGACACTGTTATGACGTTCACACAACTCAGAAATCGACACTGACGCATTTCTTAGAACACAGCCGTCAGCAAGCGACAGGTGCCCGCTACACACTGTTTCTCCTCCTCGCCCCAGGGCGTGACCTCCGCGGGCAGTGTGCTGGGGGAAGGGCACCTCGGGGCAGAGCGCTGGGGCTGGGGAGGCCACTTTCACCCCCGTGGGCTCTGGGCTCGGCAGGGCCTGCTCCCCAGGGGTTCTCCAAGCCAGCTGGGGGCTGGGGCTCCACTGAGCTCTGGGCAGGGGCGCAGGAGGCAGGGTGGCTGGCTGCTGGGCAGGGGCCTGGCTCCCGCAGACCTCTGGGCCCTCGGTCCCTCCCTCCCTCCCTGACCACAGGGAGCCCCGCAGCCTGGAGCCAGAGCCAAAGGGCAGCGGCTGGTAGGAGAGGCGGCCGGGCTGAGGCACAGCAGGGCAGGCACGTGGCAGGAAAGTCCGGGGCGGCGGTCCCCAGTGACTAAGAAGAGCCACGTGCCGCCGGGTGCAGGACGCGGTGAGGGAGGGAGTGAGGGTAAACGGCAGGGTATGCACAAAGTGGGAGGTGGCCGGCAAGGCCGGAAGGGATTTATGGGAAGCACTGTCAAGCTTACGCATCTCTGCTCCTCAGTGTGACACTGTTTGGGGAAGGACGGGCAGTGAAGGCCCTGGAGATATTTCACCTTTACTGACGCAGGGACGCTGCCGAGTGCGAGCCCCGCGCCGGAGCCACCGTTCTATCAGGGTGCAAACAGTGGTGCCCAGGGGCTCCTGGGGGCGCCCTAAGCCACTTGTCATGGCCGGAGGTGCAACCACGGAGGGCGGAGGAGGGGGGCCAGGGAGCGGCTGCGGCCAAGCTGGCCCCAGGCCCGCGGGGGGCGCCCAGCGCCCAGCCCCACCCGGCCCCGCCCGGCCTCCTTGCTCTTCTCGGTAGCTTCTTTTTGTTTTTCTCTGGAAGTCTGTAGGGTTTTGGCTGAGTGTGCAGATCTGTCATCTGGGATGAGTGTGCCGGGAGGGAAGCATACGTGCAGAAGGATGTCGAAGCTCTTCCTGATTTTCTCAGAAGCCGCAAGGCGTCTGGCAGAGTGCTAGTTCCTGTCTTGGCAGGACGGGCACCGTGACCCTTGTGCTACTGGCCCCGGCGGGCGGCCGCGTGGCCGAGCCGCTCCTCACCACCCTCCAGGCGTGCGCGCTGCCCGGCCGGCCGGGCCCCTCGGGGGCGCCTCGTGCCAGGGCCACCGGCAGATGGCAGGTGGCCCGTGGGCTGGGCTGGGCAGCGTGGCCCGCACCGTCCTGGAGGCCACTTCTGGAAACCCGCCCTGTTGGGGACCGAGGCTGGCATCTGGAGTCTGTCAGCAGCCATAAAAAGGTGAAATGGAGTCCGGACAGAGAAAAACATCCGGGTTGTAAAAGGCATGCGGGAAGAACTCCTTGCCCCCACCTTTTCTTTCTCCTCTTTCTTCTCTCACCCACCTATTATCTAACCACTGCTCCATTCTTGCCCATTTTTGTCCCTCGCGAGAACCATGTTATCAAACACTGCTACATGTCTAGTGTCCATTGGCTTTCTCCCTTCCCGACGTCTGCATCCCCCACCTCTTGTATTTTATATAAACCAGATAAAAAATAAACTCACTCTCGCTCTCTCTCTGTTCTGATACACGCGTGTGACTGCTTCCTTTGTTCGCCGGACCTGGGGCCCCGAGTCTCCGGCCTTGCTGGTCAAGGTCCCCCACACCGCCCCTGCTGGCCCAAGGGGCGCGCAGCCCCTGGAGGTCGGGGCTGACTGAATCTATGGGTGCGGGAGGGGCACCTTGGCTTTTTAACGGATAAATACCTTTGTTTCTTGTTTAAGTGAATGAATTTTTCAGGCAGACTGAAAACAGACCCAGGGAAACTTGGCGTGGGTGCAGTGGGGGAGGGGCACAGCAGGGTCATGGGGTCCCAGCCTTTTGCTCCCTGACTTTTGGGGAGGAAATTTCACAGCGAGACGAGCAGCTGGAAGTCACTGGGTAGGAGCTGGGGCTGCAATGACCTTGAAGCCACCCCCAAGCCAGCTGCGCAGTCTGCGATCATTCTGTCACTTACCCAAACCACAGGCTCATGGAGGTTGAGGGCTGTCCCCCCCCCCGGGCCACTGCCCCCAGCGCTGGGAGTTGGGGGCCAAACGAGAATCCCGGGGGCCGGCTCTGGGCCAGGCCAGGGGATACAGGACAGACTGCGCCCTTACACACAGCCTCCCTTGGGCGACAGTGGGAGACCGTCAGGGCCCCCAGCTACAGAGGCCTCAAGCCACAGTGTGGTGCAGTGTGACCTGGGCTCTGGGGTCAGGCAGGAGGAAGTGACGCTGAGCTGAGACCTGGGTGCCCAGGGAATATTCCAGGTAGAGCCCAGCTAGCCAGTGGGGTGGGGCCGGGGTGGGGGTGGGGTGAGGACAGGGTGGGGGTGGAACAATTCTCCTTCTCTGTCTATCTTTTTCCTCAAATAGAGCCGCCCCTGCCCCACCCTACACATACACTGAAGCGTAGAATTGAAGCCACTGGCATTCTGGTGGGGTCACTCATGGTCTGACCTTGAGGGGCCACCCCACCTTGCTTCTAAGAAGAGAGTCTTTGGGGATCGGTATGATGATTTCTGGAGAGAGAGGACAGTTCCTAGGGGTGGGCCTCAGAAATAAATTCAGCATTTGTAGGAAGAAAAACGCAGCAGCCCCGGCACCAGAGGGCGGGTCTGGCCTGGTGGGGTGCAGGGTATGGGCAGCAGGGGCGGGTCTGGCCTGGTGGGGTGCAGGGTATGGGCAGCAGGGGCCCAGACTCAGCTCTGGGCCACCCCATCCGCGTGCGCCTCCCATTTCAGGAGGGTGCCCTGACCTCGCTGCACTGTGGGGCTTCAGGCCTGGGGCCCTGGAATGCACCTCCCCCCCCCACCCCCCCACCCTGCTTGAAGGAGCCCTGGCCTGGCCGGGCCAGCTGGACCCTCGGCTGAGGCGCGGGCCCCCCACTTCCAGGGCGCTGCAGCCTGACGAACGCGTTCCCCTTTTCTGTCAGAAAGGCCTCAGTGACCACAGTGACCTCCCTGCGCCGCCAGGGGTTGCATGCTCCGTCCCAGGTCCCCTGACACTGCCCCTGTGCCCGCCGCCCCGGAGGCCTGAGGACACAGCCCGCGCCTACCTGGCGGTCTCGCCGCTGGCCGCGCGCCCGGATGCCTCCCTCTGCTGGCTGTGGGGCCCCGAGGGGGGCAGGCGTGGCTCCCCGTGGCGTCCCCCTGGCGACCACGCTCCTGGCTTGGCGAGGGCGGCAGCTGGGGAGGAGGAGAGAGTCAGTCGCCTTCTGCTCTGGAGCCCTGTGCAGGTGCCTGTCACAGCCTAGGAAAGCACAAGCTCCAGGCGCCGGGTGCAGCCGGGGCCCCCAGACACCCCCAGACAGCCTCGGTGGGCGTGAGACCGGGGCCCTGCGTGGCTGCGGCTGGGGCAGGAGCAGCCCAGGGAAGCACAGAGCTGACGGAGGGGCCTGTCCAGGGCTTGGTGGCACAGGACCCTGGGGAATCACTTGGCATCTACAGTTCAGTTGGGGGGGAGGGCTCTGTACTGCTCAAGGTGACCGGCGGGGCCCTCTGCACCCACCTGCCCCAGTCCCAGGCCCGGGCCCTCAGCCTGCCCTGCCTCCCGGCCAGCAGAGCTCGTGTCCACACGCACTGGCACTGCGGTCACCGGCCTTCGGGGAAGGCCGGGAACCCCAGACCGGGAGGAGTGCTGGGGGGCGGCACGGCTTGTGTTTCCAACTCCTCCCCCCCCCGCCCCCCCCCCCCAGGCGCCAGTCCTCCTCCCCTGACCCCTGCAGCCCAAGAGCCTGTGGGGCGACAGCGACAGACAGGTCAGACAGGTCGGGCTTTGGCTTCGCTGCTTCCTTAATCCAACCGCCTTCAGTTCCTTGTCAGAGTCCTCTGCCCTCTCAGCAGACGCCCCCCGCAGGTCTGCCAGCCACTGCCGGCCGCAGCACGGGCCTGGCCACTGCCAGGTAACTCTTCTGACCCAGACAAGGCAGTTGTTCTAGACGGAGCCCACGGGTGGCTTTATTTACAGTCCACACCAGAGTCCACCCAAGACCAGATCTGGGACTGTAGCTTCACTGGTCACTCCTCAGTGGACAGCTTGCCTGTGCTCTCTGCCTGGTGGCGTTTATCAGGCCCCGGAGACAAACTCAGGGGCAGGCGGGAACAGCGGAGAGGAGCCGCACGCGGCTGCATGCTACCGGGGAGATGCCCGGTGACGGCGTCACCAAGATGGCGCAGGGCGGGGAGAGTCCGCAGCCCTCAAGGATCTGCAGCTTTCCTGGGCAGACGGGAAGATCCTGGGGGAGCGGCAAAGCTGAGCTCCCCAAGACACACAGCAGTCGCCACCCCTGCCCCCCTCTGCTCCCTGGAGACTCAGAAGTGGCCCCAGAAATCAGCTTCAGGAGGGGCCCGGAGGCGGGAGGAGGGCAGTGGGCAGGCACCGAGGCCCTGGGCAGTGCTTCCCACCTGCCGCCTGCTTCAGACGGGCCATGCCCGAGACGCCCGTGTTTACTGAGCAGGCAAGTGGTTTTGAAACCCCAGGTAGTCTTGGCCAAGGGAAAATGAGAATAACTCCCCTCAGGCCGATGTCTCGCAAAATTCTGAGCTCCAGTCTTGGTTTTCCCCTCGGGAATGGTTTCCGTCTGGTTCGGGGGGGCTGAGATTACTTTCTGGCCCTGAATCCAGCCTCATGCGGGGAAAGAAAAGGCTGAAGAAGCAAGACTCCAGGATGGAAGGACCAAGAGGTCAGGGCTGTGAGCAGGGAGGGGGTGGAACAGCAGACAGAGGCACGAGGGTGCACCCCCCACCCCGCTACCCCGCCACCGCCCCCCGGCCCCCTCATCCACTCTGAGTACTGAGCCTCAGAACACGTCCTGTACACAGGCTTCCAGGCACAAAATCCGAAGTCTGTGTCCACCCCGATGCAGGAGGTGGGTGAGACGGAGGCGGAGAAACGTGCTGGGGAGCTGAGGGTCCCGGGGGGCTGGGAGCTGCAGCTGGGCAAGAATCACCAGAAATGCAGCCGGCGCTTCCTACCCGACCGGCGGAAAGCGGGAGCCTGGGAGCTCCTGGGGAACAGTTTGCCAAGCTAAGGTCTTAGGCTGTTGGGCAGGGAGAGTGGTGCCTACAGAAAATCAGGGGCCAACTGTAACCAGGATGCCCCGAAAACCTGGAGGGGCGAGGGAGAGGTGCCTAGGGGGGGAGGCAGCCCCCCCAACCTGCCAAGACTGGGAAAGCCTGCGCAGGACACCTCAGAAAGGGACTGAGTGAGCAGACCCAGCACCCTATTTTCAGCCAGGCGCCCCGAGTTTTGCTTTGCCTGGGTGTGACTTTGGATTCTTTCCAGCCCGAGTCAAGCACTGAGGACCCGTCTCAAACTGGGTACCAGTTTGAGAAGGGACCACACCCGGTAGGCACGCTCACCGGACCGGCCCGGATCCGGGGCCCCGGCCTTTGAACCCCATTATGTGCAAGTTATTAAGGCTCTAGGTCGTTTCTTACCCTCTAGTGTTTTTCTATCTGAATGGAAATTTGAGTCTTATCTGGCCTGCTCATATCCTTTTTAATTTCCTCTTGAAAATTAAAAAAGAAAAAATACTGTGCTCATTTCTGATCGAAAGCATGTAAGTTTTTTCCTGTTTAAAAATAAAAAATAAACTTTATATCCTCCATCCATCTCCGGTGCGCTCCATGGGAGACTTCAGGGCACGGTAGGATTCCAGAGTCTGCCTCTCGTCACGCCCTTTGGTCTCCATCGGCCTCTCCCCCTCGCTGACTGCCTCAGCCCAGAACCTGAGGTCAGGAAGCCCTGGTGGCGGCGTGGCGGCGTGTGAGACGCCCACTCTGACCCTCACACTGGACAGGGCTTTCTTCACACCGTTGGCAGCAGGCCCCGGGCCTCCCGGCCGTGGGCCCGGCTCAGGGCAGCCCCAGGGCGTGCGGCCAAGGCCTCTCTGGGTCGGGAACTCCTGCCGCTGCGTCATTTCGTTTGGGCCTCATCAGTCCCAGCGCTGACCCCCCGACTGCCCATGATCTTACCTGAAGAGGAGCCTCGAGGCTCAGACGCGCCAGGCTCAGCCCCCTTATAGGCGGGAAGGTGGGCGTTGGGCAGGCACGGGAGGTAGCCGTTTCTGGGGTGTCCAGTCATCTGGAGAGGAAAGGGGTGGTCTTCCGGCCTGGAAGAAAACGTGAAAACAGCAATAAATACAGATGGAAGGAGGTACTTGAAGGCTGACGACCAAGTAGCAGCCAACACAAATAGAGGAAGTGGAAGCACCTGAAATGCTTTGTTAACTGGCCCTGGCAGCTTTAAATCTTCTCACAGGCCTGGGCGGTGAGTGGGAAGCGCCTTACCTCTCTGGTGTACTGCCTACACACTGACACCACACCAGTTCTGTAGCTTTGTGACACACAACACAAGGGCATCTCTCGGCTTTAGGTGACACGGGAGCATGACGTTGCAACCAAACTACACAAGGCACAGGCCTCCTGGTTCCGTCTCCAAGGCTGGTGAGGGTGACTGAACCAGAGGCCGGCCAGGGCATGTCAGCCTCGGTGAGCGTGAGGCAGAGACAGGGCCAGGAAGAGCTTATTCTCTGTGACACCAGCATGGCACATGCATTTCTCATGTGTGCACCTGTTAGGGACTGGCCTCAACACACAGCAGGGCAGAGCTCTGAAGATGTGAAACTGCGTTGGCGTGCAGAGATTCTGAAAAGGGGGGAAGGGAGGCGGGAATGAGGAAGACATGGCAGCTGGTGTTGGGTGCAAGTCTTCCTGCTCATTTCTCAGCAGGTCTTTATTCATACTGTGTAGCAAGTGGGTAATTACAGTAATGCACAAGGTGAGGCAAGTTAGTAAGCATGCACCACTGAAGTTCTTAAGGAAGAGGGGGACAAGGCATTCTTTTCCTGACACTTTATGGTATACTAACTTATACACATTTGTGATGACCTTCATGTACATGGATATTTAACTATAACTCAAAGGATAAGGGGTCTGGGAAAGGCTGGGCTGTTAGCAGAGGATTGTTAGGGGTCTTAAGGAATAGATTGTGTTAGTAGAGTCATCAGTGATTGTCTAAAGAGAAGCTAATGGCTAACTTAAGGTTAGCAGAGAGTAGTTAGTGATTGTTACAGGAAAAGATTAATTTAAGACTAGCAGAGAGTAGTTAGTGATTGTTTAAGAAAAGGGTAAATTAAGAGGAAGTTATACAGGCATGCATTAGCCAGCACCTGTTAAAACAACATTAGGAAACTGCCCATGAATCCTTATGCCCTGGGAATCTTGTCTGAGGTTTGCTTTTTGTCTCAAAAGACCAAGGGAGCTTCCCAGGAGTCTTTATGCCCTGAGGGCCTTATCCTCCCGGGGCTTGCCTTTTGTCACAGGAGACAGAGGAAGTTTATGCCCTGGGATAGCTCCTGCTTGCCTGGGCCAGGCAGCTACCTTATGAGACAAGGCAATCCAGTTGTAAGCTGATGGTTGCTCAGAATATTTTGATATGATGATTATACAAAAAGGAAGGTTGTAACATAAGCTAGCAATGGAAATTTTGATTTTTCAGATTTTCCCTTCTGCCCAGAATTTGTCAGATGACAGAGGTACATAGCCTGTGTCAGGCACCTGTGGGCGGCCCTGTGGCCAGAGACTTGTCACCCAGGGGCGGGTGTGGGGACCCCAGACAAGCTCATTGTGTGGGGGAAGGAAGCAGCCCTCAGTCAGGTTTCACAACAGGAAGGTTCTGGCTCCCCCTTCACCAGACGCTGACCGCCTGCTCTAGGGTCTGGGGGGACAGTGGAGGGCAAACCTACACCCAATGTCAGTGCTGGACCAAAAACTTGGCTCTACCCCCGAGGGGCCAGGAAAGGTTGGTGTGTGACTGTGGCTCTGGGCAAGCCTTGAGCTCTGGGCTGGGGCTGCCTGGCCCATTTCCAGCAGAGCCCACACAAGGACGAAGGGCAAGAGGCAGAAAAGTACGTAATACTGTTACTGAAAGATTAAAGACACCCCAAAAATATAGGCTGGAAGTTATGGGGTGTCCTGGGGCTCCTGAGGGCTGAGGGGCAGTGAGGGGGCAATTAAGCAGGCCTCTGTCAGCCAGGTCAGATCCACCCTGAAGGGAAACAGGAGTCACAATTCACTATGGGCAGGCCCCCCACAGGACCCTCACCCTGTCCAGGCTAGGGAGGGCGGGTGCCACAGTGGGCAGGGGGTGGGGTTTCCAGGGCTGTGGGGAGGGGATGCTACAGAGGTGTGGAGAGAGGGCAGAGCTAGAACAGTGGGGTAGAGGGGACCCCAAGGTCACGGGGTGTGAGTCCAGGTCAGGTGCCCCGGGGACTTACGCCGTTTCCCGGAGCAAGAGGCTCAGAAGGCGGTGGTGTCCCCCTAGGAACTGCCTAATTAGGGGTGCTGGGGGAACACCCTGGGCACTCGGGATATGCAGGATGGGGCTGGCAGAACACAGCGTCTTAGGCGGGAGTAGGTGGGCGTCGTGTGGCAGTGGACATGGGGGGTTAGAGCCCAGGAGGAGGGTGGTCCCCACAGCAACCTGGAGAGATGCTGGTGTCCTCTAGGGTCAGAGACTGCACGGTCACCCTGGCCGTGCAGCTGTACCTTGAGGCGACAGGACGACGGGGCAGCAAGTAGCCAGAGAGGCTGGAGGCCAGGAGGCCTGGGGAGGCCCAGAGAGACGGGCAGGAGGCAGGGGGGGCCGAGACGGAGCAGAGGCGGCAGCAAGTGCTAGAGCAAGCTCAGGCCGAGGTGGGAGGGGTGCGGGAGGCTGGGCAAAGGGGAGGCCGGGAGGAGAGGCAGGCGTCTGAGGGTGGGGTGAGGGGACCCCGCATTGCATGGGGGCGGCTGTACGTTTTTGTTTTTAACCTTTCTCTTCTTGATTATCAAGCCAGTGCTTATCATAAAAAGTCGGTAAGAGTTTGGGGACTGTTCTGCTCCCCCCAACACCTAGCCTCAACCACCACTAATGCCTCGTATTTTTCCCCTCTTCTTTGAAACACAAGTATATACTTGAAACACACCTACACCTGGGGTCACTCTACGTGACCTGGGCCCACACTGTAAAGGGGTTCACTCTTTCACTAAGCAATGTATCCTGAGGCTCTTCCCACGCAGTAATTATTCCTCTAAAGCCTCATTTTCAATAGTGCTTCGTGCGGACACATAATTCTGTAGCCAGCTCCCTGTATGGGCATTTAGAGGATTTCTCATTTCATAAATAATCCTGAATCAAACGCCCCTGCGGCTCTCCCTGCAAATGACCCATGTCTTCTCAGACTCAGTCTGGAAGCGGTGGAATCGCTGATTCCCCAGCACCAGCGTCCCGGGGGTGTAATCGGTGTCCCCAGACCTCGGGGTTCCCGGGTCAGCTGCGCTCTCGGCAAGTGACCAGAGTGACCAGAGACGCTGTGGCGAATGGAGCGGCGTAGTCACATCCTCAAGAGGCTGCCCCAGCACCGCCGGGCTCCACCGCCCACCCACTCTGGGTGACCGTGTCCCTCCCTCCGGGCAGCTCGCCCAGCTCACGCGTTATTCCTGCATCCCGGGAACCAGCCACGGGGCAGAGCTGCTGAACTGGCCCAGTGCAGGGGCTGGAGGGGGGAAATGGCTTCATGAGCGTGGCAGCGCCCACAGCTTCAGCAAAAGGAGGTGCTGCCCTCCCTGCAGGGGCCACATGTATCAGTCGGGGGGCAGCCCTGAGCGCGCTCCCAGGTGTGGAAGGTGTTGTTGCCCCACACAGACGTGTGGAGCAGCCGAGCCCACTGTTAGATTTATCTTTATCAGAGCCCTTTACTTCTGATTAGACACTCTCAGGTCACTATTGCCTCTCTGTGAAGCCAGGGTTTGAACAATTTTAAGAGAGAATCTTAAAATAATCTTTTTAAGCGATGATCCGGGGGCCTCCCTGGTGGCACAGGGGTTCAGGCTCGGCACAATGAGGCTCTCAGCGGCCACTGCGGCCTGAGCTCCATCCCCAGCCAGGGGTGACCCCCAGGGCGCATCAGGCCTCTCCTGTCTCCCCGCTGCTCCCCTCAGCAGTCTGTGTCAGTAGATCTGCCTGTTCTGCTCCCCGCTCTGTCTCTGGGGAATCCTCTCACACCTCTACCTTCTGGCCTACACCCCAGTTCTTGGATGCATTGAAAAAAAAAACCCTAAAGGCCCTGAAATATGTAGCACATGATGATGAGTTTTGAAATCAAGTCAGGTGCGCCCAGAGCTCAAGCCCCATGGCTCAGTCTCTAAACCTGAAGCCGTCTTACAGGTCAAGTCCCCGGGCGACAGAATGAGGCAGGGGCTGGTGCTGGGGCCCTGGCTGCAGCCTCTGGGCGCAGCTCCATTTCTCCAGGTATCTCCCTGTGGTTGCTCTATCCCCAGGGATTGGCTGTTCATGTGAAAAATACCATAGAGTAAAACTGGAAACAAAAATGCCCAGGGGCTATAACAGCATAGAGGGTAACTAAGTGAAATGGGCCATGGGCCTATTCACTTGAAACAGCTTAGGGCCAGTCTTTGCTGGTGAATCCCTGCAGGTGTTTCGCCTACTGGTGTAATCTTTCACCCCCGGGTTTGTAGCTGTTTCTCCCCAGCAATCTCCACAGACAGGGAAAGGGAGGCTCCTCTCCTGCCCTGCCCTGCCCTGCCCTGCCCTGTCCTGCCTGGGACTGCCCCGACCCACAGGACTCAGGTCCCCCAGCCCACGGAGACCAGAGGCGCTCAGACCCCAGTTCTGTTACCGCGAGAAGGTGAGAGCGGATCTATGAAGGACGAATCAGACGGGCTGGCGCAAAATGCACACGGGTTCTTTCAACAAAGTGCTGGTGCCACGGAAGAGGCTGCAGAGGAGAGTGAGGGGCCTTTCTTTCAGCCTCCCTGGTGGCGTGGTGGGGTAGGACGCAGCCCTGCAAGCTGCTGCAGCCACTTCAGTGAGAGTTCAATTCCCGGCCCAGAGCTGACCCACAGGGCGCGGCAGACCTCTCCTGTCTCACCTGCTGCTCCCCTCAGCAGTATACTTCGTCCATCTGCCTATTCTGCTCCTCACTGTCTCTGGTGAATCCTCTCACCCTCCTGCACCTCTGGCCTGTACCCCAGCTCTGTATGCATAAATAAATACATCTTAAGAAAGAAGAAAAAAAAGAGTCCTTCCTCTCGGAACGGCTCCTCCTGACAGGGGCAGGAAGCCGCCCTGGCGACCCTGAGTCCAAGCACCTCACTGGGCGGGGGCGGAGATCCAACCTGTCTCCTCTGCAAATCCTCAAGCCATAAACAATGAAGAGATAAATGCTTTTCACTGTGAACACTTTATTTGGAATTTCAAGGTACACACGTCTTACACAGCAGTCAACCGGAACAAAGCTCAAGAAACTCAACCCGCCTCCGAACGCCCGACTTACACTGGGTACCCCGTCCTGTGGCCGCTGGGGGTGACGGGCCGGCGCAGGGGCTCGTCGCGGCTCCACTGCACCCCGGCCAGGCCCTTCCGCCTCATGGTCCCGCTGTTGGTCATGATCTGGGGAGGGGAGAAGAAACGAGGGCTGAGAAGCCATCTACCTGGGAGCTGACAAAGAGGCCGAACCTAACGCAGTACACTAGAGTGACCAGAGGCTTTGCAGGTAAGCGAGAGAGGAGCTACCCGCCTGCCCGCCCGGGGCTGACGGGGCCGCCGCCCCCCAGCTGGGCCCTGCTCAGTGCCTCCCCAGGCCCCGGTCAGGCTTTCTCCCGGGCAGGGAGGGGGGGCCTGGACGCCGGCTCCTGGGCAGACGCCCGTGGGCCCCGGCCCGGTGGGACAGTCCTGCCTTGTTCTGAGAGCCCGGCCGAGCCCCAGCTTGCGCCGTGAAAGTCCCTCTCTTTCTCCTGGCCGCCCTGCACTGCCCGCGAGGCCCGGCTGACTCAGCAGACTGTTTCTCGGCCCGCAGGCTGGGCGCACGGGGCTGCCAGGCCCTGGGCGCGGCGGGGAGGTTGGTAGGATATGAGCAGGCCAGGAAGGACCCGGGGGGGGGGGCGGGTAGGACACCCCCAGGGCGTTGGCCAATGCCGCTTCCTCACCAGGGCCCTCGCCTGCCTCCCACCCGCCCCAGCCCAGTGGAGTCCCTGGGCACTGGGCAGTCACGGCCCGCGGCGCCCACTGCCCCTCCAGGGCCTGCCTTGGCCGGAGGGCACCGTGCCCCCGCTGAGGGCGGCCAGCCCCAGCAGAGAGGTGGGGGACGGCCCCTTCCAGCTTGTGTTAGCCCCTTCACGGTTACAAGTCAAAAAAAAGAGTCGAGCCATGGCAAAAGGAGAAGCAGCTGAATACAAGAAAGCTGTTGAATCGTCTGCAGAGGGTTGAGTTTTGAAAGTGGAAAGCAGAAAAGGGAAAGACAGATATGACTGCACAAAAAAGCAACATAGCCCCATACGTGGTATGGAAGTCAAACGAAGAGCAAACAACAGACTGGGAAGAGATATCTGTAGCGACGCTAACAGATTAAAGGTTGAAATTCTCATTAATGAAGAGCTCTCACAAGTCAAGAAGTAAGATACAGAGAGATCATTGGGAAAAGAACACTAACAGCCACGTCACAAAACAGAAAGTATCACCAGAAAGCAATAGAGTAAACCATCAACTTGTCGGCCAGTCAGAAACCACAGCTTCACAAAGTCAGTATCATTTTCCAGCTACTAAGTAAAAGGCAAAGAAACAATCTCATACACTGCTGGCAAGAGTTTAAAATGTTAGTGGCACCGAAATCTGACATAGCTTGTTTGGAAAGTAATTTGGCATTTTGTAGCAGGAGTCCTAAAAATGTTCATAGTTGTGGGTTTAAATTCTAGTGAAAGAATCCAAAATATGGAAAATGTTAAATAAAACAAAAAAAGAGTTGTGTGTTACACAATTATTATAGAGTAAAACTGCAATCACCTAACTGTCCGGTAATAGGGGGATAATTACGGAAAAGAGGGCAGAGACATTTGAAATATCACATGGCCGTTTACCGTGATAAAGGAGGGTGTATGAAGATATTTATTTAAAACACTGAATACAAACCGGTTACAATACTGCTCATAAATGGTGCTTTCAATTATACTAAAAGCCCCACAAAGCCTGAAAGGAAAAGAACTCTAGGACCGAGGGACCGTTTAGAACAGCAGGACCCAGAATGTTTTCTTTCCTCCCCATTTTCCAAGTTTTCTGTAGCATATGGCTGCAGTATGTTAATGGTTAGGAAAAAGTATCTGGAAAAAAATGCCACTGTGGGGCCTCCCTGGTGGCTCAGGGGTTAAGTGGCAGCCTTATCAAGCACGAGTTTGAGTTCGACCCTGGCCAGGGAGGGACCCCAAGGCGCGGCAGACCTCTCCTGTCTCCCCACTGCTCCCCTCAGCAGCGCGTTCCAGTAGATCTGCCTGGTGAGTCCTCTCATCACCCCCACTTCTGGCCTACGCCCCAGCTCTTGTATGCATAGAAAGTAAAAAAAAAAAAATCTTAACAAAAGAGAAAGAAGTGCTGCAACAAGTGAAGTCATAGAGCAGCCTGCGGGTGGCACCGACTTCCGTTCCTGGTTCTGCCAGACCTTGCCCTGGCAGTCACCAGGAGACTGGGCTGGGGGGTGCTGGGAGTGACCAGAGAGTTACTGACAGGAACTGAATTAGGGCGTAATGAACTGAGCCTGGCATCCAACCTGGATAAGGTGGTAATAAACTGACCTTGCATCCGGGATGGGACTAGCTGAAGGTGGTCACAAGCCAGGCCTCACATCAGGGGCACAGCGATGAGTCACCCCTTGGAATCTGAGCAGGACTGTACAGGAGACCCTTCCCCTTACTGAGTGGGCAGTAGCTGCAGACCCCACTCTAGGGGCTCCGTCTCAGCTGCTTCGGGGAGCAATAAATCTGCTTGCTCAGCCTTTCTGCCTCCTGTCTTGCCGCCTGGACAAACAGGGGGGCAGGAGGGCCCCAGGACTCCTCTGCACTGTCTTTTCCTTCCTCTGGATCTAGGATTCTTTCAGAGCCGTGTCTTTCCTCTGCTTATTTGGAACTACATCTTTAATTTCTTGATTTTTGCTGAGAAGTGATTTGGATCCATCTCCCCTTTGAGGTGGGGAGGGAGCCAGTGTGCCTCACCTGCGCTGGGGACAGGCAGGGCCCATAAGGAGGGGGCTGGGCTGGGTGGGAGGGAGGGTGAAGGGAATCGCAGGAGCAGAGAAGGTGGGTGGCTTCTACCCTCTTGGAGGAAACCGCCCTCTCGTCCCTGTCCCTCACGTTGGCTGCGCAGCTCTAGGAAGGAGCTTTGGGAAGCAGGCGGCAGCACTGCCCTAGCCTGGCACACACCGGGGCCTGGCACACACCGGGGCCTCCCCACAGAGGCTCCCTCCGCCGCCAGCACCCAGCCAGCACGGCTTCAGGAGCAGACAGGGTGTGGTCTTCCCCTCTGCTGCCTATTCCTTGCTCCCCGCCTACCTGCCTGCCAGCTCAGCCCCAGGGGACAGAGAACACACCTATTATATTTGAGGGGCTTCAGACTGCAAAACCCAGTCAATCTCATGTCTCCTAAAGACTTCTTGGGCTGCAAGTAATTTAAGGTGAGTGAGAGTATTTTTCCCTCCCAGTGCAGGAGGGGCTACCTGGTGTGGTATCCCAGGGCCAGGTGGGTCCTTGTGGGGAGGGTGAAGCATGCAGGGCCCAGCCTCGGAGAGCAGCTGTGCTCTTGAGGCCTGTTTCCTGTTCACACTACAGCCCACTGTACATGGGGTGAACCACAGGGCGGCCACAGGTCTCCAGGCCTCTCTCTGGGCCCCTCAGTTGCAAGAGAGCCTTCTGGGGGGGCTGGAAAGCTCAACACTCAGCTGTCTACACTGTGTTCCTCAGAAATGCTAGGGGGTTGTTGGGAAGAGAGCGGAGAAGCTTTGCGGCACCTGCTTGCTCATTCCGGAGGAAGACGGCTTCCATCTGTTACAGATGGAAATTCTCTCTGAGACAGCGTTCTGCTACTCAAAAATGCAGCATACTTAAGCACAACTGAAAGGACAGTATATGATTTACGAAATGCAACTTATTCAGTCGTCAAAGGTGGGCAACATATGCCACTTGTGGGAGAGAATATATGTCCCTTTGTTAGCTACTGAGTACTGGTGAGTCACTCAGCTGAATTATGACATGTCACGACGTCAGATGAATCCTTAGAAGGTTTGGGCCCCTGAGGTATCTGTCTCCCGTGTAAAGTAACCTGAGCCTGCAGCTGGCGGCCACATGCACTCTCCTTCGCGACCAACAGACTGATTTTGTCGGCGCAGAGATGTGTCTACTGGAAAACATTCACCTCCCCAGACTCCCTTGCGGCCCCCATCTGACCAGTCAGAGGCAGGAAGGGCTACTGGCGGGAGTGGACTGAGGCGTCTGGCCTTCTCCTGGCTCTCCCCCACCCGGCTGGGGCAGCTCCCGCCATCTTAAGCTTAAGAGGCAGCGAGACGTGGCTTGCAGGACTGCTCACAGAGGCCCCGGGGGGCCCAGCTCCAGCTCCCCGCGGGGGCCCAGCCACGGGCCCGTGGCCATCTGGGTCTGTAAAATGTGCGAAGGTGGATATTTTAACTGCAAGCACTTCATACTGCTGTTCTTCCGAATCCCACTTCCCTTCTGCTATTTCTTTCCATGAGGACTTCCCCATCCCACTTCCCCTCCTCTAGGTTAGTGGCTGGTCTAGGAACGGCCAAAGGCAATTTGGGATTTACTTACCCGGGGATGCTGGCTGAGTTGCAGAGATATTTAATTTGGGCTAAGGGGGACACCCTGGTAGGGTCCCGCGTCACTTCTGTGCACAGCCAAACTATTTTGAGCTTCAGGAATAAGCTGCCAGAACGTCCCTGTGTTGCTGGAGTATTTGCGAGTAATCAGTGCACAAGGAAACTTAAAATGCCCCCCAATGTTACACCTTATTGATGAGAGGAAGGTTTTCTTAAATTGAATAGTAAGCCTACAATTTAGTGTTAAGAAAAACTAAGCAAGTTAAAGATTTCTAGTCAACAATAAGAAACAAAATTTAATCGAACACATAACACAAAGGCACAGTCTTTTCTGTCTCTGTAGAAAATATTACAAACTTGTGAGAACACAGAAGCAAGCAGTGTGGAAAGCAAAAAAACTGGGGGGATAAAACTCTGAGGCCATTATTTTTCTGTTTGGGGCATCTGTCCGTTCTTATACTCTGAATTCATGTGATTTATGTTCTCATTCTCATTCTCAAGCATTCATTTTGATAGCTCACTCTGCACTCCCTGATGTAAAAGAACCCCCCAAATGCAGGGGGAGGAAGGCAGTGAAGAGAGTGTGGGGGTCTGGTTGCCCCCAGTATGGTGTGCGGGGCTGACAAAGCTGGATTCTCTCGCTGCCATTTAGAAAAAAGATGCAGCATACTTGGGTGTTTGGGATTTCCCGCCTCTGCTTGCTGGATTGTGCCTTCAAGCACCATGAAAGAATCGTTTACGGTGGAGAGGGCATCCACTCCTGCACTAGTAGGCAGAGCAGGAGTGACTGTGGGCAGAGAGGTGCGAAAGGCCCCGCCCCCCACCCGGGCGCAGCGGGTTAGAGCACAGGGCTTTGGAACTGTAAGCAGCAGGGGCTCCAGCCCGGCCAGGGAGCAGCCCCTCCGGTCTCCCCGCTGCCCCCTCAGCAGTGGGTTTCGGCGGATGCGCCTGTCCTGCTCCCGACTCAGTCTCCGGGGAGTCCTCTCACCTTCTGCACCTCTGGCCTGCACCACAGCTCTTGTAAAACTATAAAAGTGGAAACATACTTGAGAAAAAAAATCTAAAAGCAACAGCTGGAAACTGAGGCCCTTTCTCTGGTTTTGGTTTCTGTGGTGAGTAAAACAGGCTCCCCAGGACGGTGGGGGGCCGGGTGCTCGGGCCTGTGTCTAGGGCAGGGCAGCCGTGGGGCGCTGCCCCGCACACTCCCCCCAGAAGCCCGGGGCCGCACACAGGCAGACTCCGGCCACCTCCGCACAGGCTCTCCGGGAAGCTAAGTGGGTGTGGGTGTGTGCTGCAGAAGGGGGGACGACCCAGCCCCTCGAGACTGCGGGGAGGCGCACACCCCGCGGTCAGCACAGGACCCGCGG